ACCGCTCTGTGCAATGTGCCCCCCTTCCTGGCGGACAACTCTGCAAGAAACACTCCGACTGACTATGTAGCCTAATGTGTTACACCACACAGATTTTAAAGCTGTGCTTTAGTGCATAAGCCTGTGGGAACATACCTATTTAGATAAGTTTGAACATATTTAAGTGTTCTTGCATAGCAAGACCACTTAATGTTATCTCACATATATATTATTATTATTCTTATTATAGCCAAATTTGCCACCCTAACTCCTCCCACAGTTTTTACACTACATAGACAAAAATTTACCAAAACGTGCAGATTGTTCCCGATCGGATTGCTATTACTTTGTGGAACGTTTCGCCGAATGGTTCACGGAATATCGTCGTTCTTGTGGAGAAATTTGTCCCATAGGAATGAATGGCAAAGCTAGAGTGGGAGCTGGCAAAAGCTGAAAAATCAGGACATGATTTCTAAACTGCCACCACTCCCTTATTTTCAAGCCCACCTACACAAATCTTATATCAAAACGTTCAGCTATCCCTGCTGCCACTAAAATGTCCACGGCTAAGCCATAGTCCTGATAGATTTCACAATATGACCATTTGTTTGCAACTCACGCCTTCCATTGACATTCATTGAAACTTCACTCAAGCCAGCTCAAACTTGAAGGGCAATTTCTAAACTGCGACTGTGCCTTCATTTTTAATACTTCAGAGACATACTATGCATCAAAATGTAGGTCTGGGTCTTGTGATTCTCACAATATAAAGTTCTTCGCTGTAGGATTTATAGTTTTTACAATACGACCATTTGAAGATGGCAACCGCCAAAATACTCTGACATGTGCCAGGCTGCAGCAGCAAGTGATGTCATAGACAGGGCTTTTTGAACACCTGCTAATGTTTTTATAAATGTATGGTTTAATGTAACTGTGCAACAACGTTGCAATTAAATGTGCTATATAAATGATAACAGTTACTCCGCCCACTCCAGTTGTAGACTACTGGTGGAGGCAAGAACACTTCACACAATTTCACCAGAAATTGTAGCTTTTCTAGTTTATATATATTGTTTCCTTTGTGATTTTGGCAGCCAGGGTTCAATTCCTTATACTGGCAAGAACAAAATTATTTTTTTCTATAAAGATTTGGTTAAATAAGTTTAAAAAAAAAAATCAAACATATGTAGATATACACAGTGAATATATTATTTTACATAGATCAACTTTTACATCACAAGTTAGACATTCTACTGCCAAGTTAGAGACTCTACTACTTTTTAAATAATGCTTTGCAGTTGGATTGTAAAAGTTATAAACTATTATACAAATGACTTCCAGCTTCCATATGTCCTAGTGCACACTATCACCAAACTGGAAGCAAGCTGACTTGGAGAATTATTTCAGTTGAGGTATTTTCGTTTTAAATTTGAAATTCTTTTTGAATTCTCAACAAACCTTACTTTATTAAAAAAAAACCCTATAAATGGGTCATTTCAACTCCTGGAACAGATTGAGAAAGTTTGAGATCTATACTCAACATGGAAATACATCAGCAATGATCTTAGAGAAGCATTTCTGGCTGCTTGTCAACCTGGAAGGGGTTATAAGGCCATTTCCAAACAAATTAAAGTTCATCATTCTACAGTGAGAAAGATTATTTAAAAGTGGAAAATATTCAAGACAGTTGACAGTCTTCCCAGGAATGGATGCCCATGCACATTCAGAGGTCAGAGCATGCAAAGCTCAGAGAAGTTGCAAAAAACAAAACAAAACAAGGGTTACATCTAAGACTCTACTCTACAGTTAGCATGTTAAATGTTACAGTTCATGACAGTACAATTAGAAAAAGACTGAACAAGTATGGTTTGTTTTGAAAGGTCACCAGGATAAAGCCTCTTCACTCTAAAAAGAACACAGCAGCATGGTTTAGGTTTGCAAAGTTGCATCTGAATAAACCACAAGACGTCTGGAACAATGTCCTTTGGCCAGATGAAACCAAAGTGGAGATGTTTGGCAATAGTACATAATGCATGTTTGGCTAAAAACCAAACACATCATATAAGCACAAACACCTTTTACCATCTGTTAAACAAGATGGGGGAGGGGTGATAATTTGGGCTTGTTTTGCAGCTACAGGACTTGGGAACCTTGCAGTCATTGAGTCGACCATGAACTCCTTTGTGTACCAAAGTATTCTAGAGTCAAATGTTAGGCCATCTGTCTGACAGCTAAAGCTCGATGGAAACTGGATCATGCAACAAGACAAGGATCCCAAGAAAGCAAATCTACAACAGAATGGCTGAAAAAGTAAGAAATCAAGGTGTTGCAATGGCCTAGTCAAAGTTCAGACCTCAACCCAATTGAAATGCTGTGGTGGGACCTTAAGAGAGCTGTGCATACACAAATGTCAGGAAACCTCGATTAACTGAACTAACACTTTGATGAAGAGTGGGCCAAAATTCCTTCACAAAGATGTGAGAGACCGATAAATCCATACAGAAATTGATTGCTTCACGTTATTGCTACTAAAGGTGGTTTTTATAAGCTGAATCATAAGGTGTACTTAGTTTTTCACACATGACTTCTCCATTTTGGCTTTATTTTTGTTAAATAATTCATGACATGCTGTAATGCAGATGGCTCATTAAAAGTATTTTAAATTAAATATCTGGGTTGTTGGTTATCCAAGCTTGTATTTATCTAATTTTAACACCTGTTAGGTAACATATGATTGCTATTATGTCCTGATATGTAAAACCATCAAAGAGGGTCTATTTTCTTTTTCCCAAGACTGTATGCTAAAAATGGGTTTTATACGCCCGTAAATAGAAATCTTCTCCTTTACATCACAGACTTTAATATGTGGCACTATGGCCATGTTACGCCAATTAGAATATGAAGAAAAATATATATATTTTTGTTGTAACTTTTTACAATGCGACATATTTGACTGTTAGGCTTTGGTAAATTGACTTTATCATGTTTATAAAAAGTGAATCTTACACAAAGACATTAAAAATATATATACTAATATCAAACTGTTTCACAAAAAAAAAAATAGAATTTGTCTAAAAATGTCCTATGCAAGGTATGATTTACCTATAATCGCACTATATTGTCATGCCTGCCTGGTGCTGATCCAATGTACAAATACTGATGATCAAGGTGACTATTCATTTTGCTGTCCGTAGCCAGTAAGGTTTTGGCTAGCACTTATGCACCATTCTTTTCATTTGTGTCTCCTCACCTCTATATCTGATTGCAGATGGCTCATGATGAGGAGGAAACATCACAATTGTACTATTATAATATTTGGTATTTTGTGTCTATGCTGCTTTACTAGAAATATATGTTTACTTCTAGAAAGTCTGGAGAGAAGCAAACGGAGTATAACACCGGGTGTTCCTCCTACTGCACGGAGGTAGTTGGGCAACATGAACAAAATAGTGCTCAAACTGGATCAGAGTACACCAACCCCTGTGTATAAAAACAGATATTAAAATCTACCTAAAGACTAGAAAGATTGCCAGGAGCCAATATTCAGATATACAATTTTAAATAGAATTTAAAAAAAATATATATCATCAAATGTACAAAAAATATAACAAAAGGATAAGCAAAATAACAAAATTGTACAGGGTGGTAAAACCAGTAATTGAAGCAAAAATAAAACGTTAGAAAGTGAATGACTTCAAAAAGTATAAAACATTGTAAATCTCTAAAAAAAAATATCAAAAAGTATTTTGTAATTAAATATCTCTTGGAAAGTACTGCCTTAGAAATCTTTTAAGACAACGTTCACAATGAATGTAGCAATGGGGATCTGAATATTGTTGCAACAAATAGAAACGCAACAATATAACAAAGGTGGAGACCTCTTTTGTTTGATACATCTCTACCTTTGTTGTCTCACTGGTGAGACCTCACTTAGAGTATTCTACTCAGTACTGGAGACCGAAACTCCAGAAGCATATTGATACTTTGAAGAGCGTTCAGGGAAGGGCCACTAAACTGGTTCATGGATTGCAGGGTAAAACTCACTAGGAAAGGTCAAAGGATCTTAACAAGTATAGCTTGGAAAAAAGATGATAGGGGGATATGATAGAAATATTTAAATACATAAAGGGAATCAACACAGTAAAGGAGTGTATATTTAAAAGAAGAAAAACTACCACAACAGGAGGACATAGTCTTAAATTAGAGGGGAAAAGGTTTAAAAATAATATCAGGAAGTATTACTTTACTGAGAGAGTAGTGGATGCATGGAATAGCCTTCCAGCTGAAATGGTAGAGGTTAACACAGTGAAGGAGTTTATGAAAGTGTGGGAAAGGCACAAGGCTATCATAGATATAAGATAAGGCCAGGGACTAATTAAAGTATTTAGAAGATTGGGCAGACTAGATGGGCCAAATTGTTCTTATCTACAGTCCCATTCTATATTGCTATGTTTGGCTAAGTGATAAATCAGGAAAGTATAGGAATCCTGAAAAATAGTTATATCTAGCAAATTACCATATCACACAATTGTAGTTGGATTCCACTTGTTAAGCCAGGAGTCCCCTGAAATCAAAACAAATGATCAATGGTGCTCACTGTCATATAACGAGTTTATTATAAGATAAGATTATTTTATATTACAGTGAGCACCATGGATCATTCATTTTTAATTCACGGGACTCCTGGCTTAACAAGTTTACAATTTACAATTGTGCGATCTGGTTATTTTCCATATATGACTATTTTATATACTGAATTCCAACGTTTTATAGCTTTTGTCAAACATTTTTACCTTTGCTTCAACTATTGGTTTTACCACCCTGTACAATTTTGTATAATTTTACTTATTCTATTGCTATATATTTGTACCACATATGCTGCTATATATTTTAAAATTCTTTTTGAAATTTTATTAGCAATTTTACTATCTAAATATTAGCTCCTGGCGATCTTACTTGTCTTTAGTTAGATATCAGTTTTTTCCTTGAATTATCACACTACAAAATAATCAACCATTTAGGCCATGGTGATGTTTTGCATTTTATTTCAGGTCATTTACATAGGTTACACCTATTGCAGCTTGGCCATGATATATACAATTAGTGATTAAATGCACTTCAATAGGAGGTCTTGAATAAGATAATATCTAGGGCATCCAATATGGGCTACATGTATAAAACAGACACAGACCTTCCAAACACTATGAGTGACAAGTGGATATAGTTTTGTTCAGTTAGTGATCACTATAGTGTTATAATGGTACCATCTTCCCTCATTCCATTCTCTTGTCCTTTTATAGTCAGTCTAGGGCTTCTGCTACGATTATGTGCAGAATTTAATGGGTTCAGGGGTCCATGTAGTGATAGGCTCTGCTGAAGGCTCCTTTGCAGTTCTCCATTGACAAGTTGGTTTTGTGTGTGAATGACCACAGGTGAATAGTCGCTCTCAATGACAACATCTCCATCTTCATCACTGTCACCCTCAGCTGTGCTATAATTGCTTGTGTAATGAGACACTGGGCTTGCAGTACTCTCCCTAGAACTTCCAGATGCTTTGCTCGTTCGGATGACATTGTTTCTTTGGTTGGCTGGCTTTACTGTTACTATTAAATTGTGACTATTTGCAACCATCATATCAGTGACTTGATCTAATGATTTTCCAGCTATGTCAATTCCATTGACTTCCAAGATTTCATCACTAACAGCCAGTAACCCAGTACTCTCTGCTAGGCCACCTTTAACAAGTCTAGAAATAAAGACTCCTGGAACTTTTTCCACTCCTTGAGGAGAGACTCTGATACTAATGCCATCACGTATGTAAAAACCCAAAGGCTTATCGGAACCATGCTTGTGTAGACGAACCCGCCGATGTGTCTCAGGGAGTATATCAACATCAATGATGGATGATATCTGTCGAAAGTCCTGGGGCATCCCAATAAGAAGCGGTGGCCGAGTACGATGCTGAGCGGGACGTAGGAGGCCTTTTTTTTTCCTTTGCAGTGAATTAGATGTAAAGATAGCATTCTCTGACTCTGCTGTAGATAAAGAACAACATTGTTACTATAACAGTTTTTCTAATTGCTTGATTACTTACATACAAATAAAGGGAAAACTGTGTATAAAATGCAGCTTGGATTCCTTTTATGTAAAACATTGTTTAATGTACACAAATATACTTGACATATTATAAAAAAGGTGCATTGGCTCTTAGCCAATGAGCAAGTCGGAATTGCTTTGCTTAGCTCATGATAGCTAATGGAAGCTCTGGCTTTGGAGCTTCCAGTTCTAAGTATTAAGTATTGGAAGCAGGGAGCAATGCCCAGTGGCCTCCTCAGGGTACAAGGCTAGGGCAATCCTCGCACTACAGGGGTTATGGTAAAACTTCTTATGCACCTAATTGTAAGATTAAAAAAAGAACAGTTCAAAAAAATGGAAGGCAAACATGTCAGAAAACATTCCTATACAGGTTTACTATAGGCTTCTAGTTACTTTTCCACGCCCCAATTACTGTAAAATGAACTAAAAATTTTTTTTGATAACACATCATAAGGATACTATGGCACACTGCAGTAATTATTGTGCCAGGGGTGCACTGAATTCCCCCCTTAGAAGTAGTCAAACTGTTTGAGAACAGTTTGACTTCTTACTTGGAGGCCACTAGGTGCTGCTTCCTACTTCCACTATTTCCACCTGAAAGCTGAAAGTTCAGAACTGTAACTTTTGCAAGTTGTTTTAGATACACCCCCAATAAAAAAGTGCATAATTAAATGCATGCATGATTTAATTTGGGGAATATCTACAAAACAATGATTTTAAAATTTATTTTCTATTTAAATTAGGTTAAAAAATTTCCCATTTGTACATTGCCGACAATCCACATAATATTGAAAGAATATGTTTTACCGTGTGCTATATATTGATCAGGAAGTAACTCTCCAGCTATTGATCTCTAGGTATTTATCCCCAGATATTGATATCTTTAATTCACATGATCCAGATTTGTGCTTGCGAGGATCATGGGACATTTATCTTAGCAATAACTGTTCAGCTAATTTTTAGAGAACAGTAACCTGACATGTAAATCTGTCCTTGGAGATAATTTATCCCAGCTGAGAGTCCTGATATTGACAATATCTAGTCTTATGATTCAGGTAAGTTTCCTGCACTTTCAACTTCTGTAAAATATTAAGGTCACTTACGTTCCAAAGATAACTGTCGCGTAGCAGAACTGAGCTTTTCTTTCATATGCAATGATCTGGTCAATCTGGGAACCTCTGAAATTGAAGGTGCAAAAAAAAAATATCTATCAAAAGAACATTCTAACACATGTTAGCTGATATTAACACAGAGCATGGTTTTCCTTTTTGTGATTGTATTTTTAAATAAGAATATGAAAATAGGCATCATATACTACTTAAAGGAGCACTATAGTGCCAGGAAAACAAACTCGTTTTACTGGCACTATAAGGTTATTAGGTCCCCCCTCCCTCAGGGCCCCCCTCCCGCTGGGCTGAAGGGGTTGCCACTTACCCTAATCCAGCACCGGGCTCCCTTGGCACTGGTGACCTCTATTCCCCCTGCCGACATTAGCTCTGAATGCGCATGCGCGGCAAGAGCTGCGCGCATTCAAACCGCCCATAAGAAAGCATTACTCAATGCTTTCCTATGGACGTCCACAGTGATCTCAGTGTGATTTTCACACTGAGAATCGAGGAAGCGGCCTTTAGTTTCTGTCAGGGAGACACTAGAGGCTGGATTAACCCTCAATGTAAACATTAACATTTTCTTCTCTTTAATACGGTTACTGGAAAGAATGACATCAATATTGTAAAGGTTGCTAAAGATACCACTGTGAAAATGTAGCTTGCTTTTTGGAGAAATTATGAAAGCATGGCTTTTGACACATTTGAAATGCTGGTTATTTTTTTTACTATATTGTTTATGTATTAATCTATCTCAGAATCTCCTCATCATTATAGAGTGACAGTAAAGAATTATAAAATTGCATGTTTAATTCAACAGAGGACCATATTACATTTTCTAAATCAATGTTCTTTTACATGTATTATTTTAAGGAAAATATTCAATGAACTTAACTTACCTCTCCGCTGAATTATAATTCTAAGTAATGGATTTGCTGAGCTCAGTGCCTTCTGGTAATTGTCATCATTGTTGATGGGTAGTAAGTCGCCATGGATGTCAGTGTAGCCCAAAAGAATGTCAAAACTACGAATCTTGTGCACAGTCTGAATCAACTGGTAAAATTCATGGAAGTCTCCAACACAGGATCTGGATATGGCAAAGCGTCTGAACTCTGCATCAAACTTTAAAAAGGAAAAAAAAGATTGAAACAAAAACACACTCATTAGTTTTGCTATATATTTGTTTCATGTTTAAGCCATGATTCAGGGAAGCTAGCATTAATACGATTTCTAAAGTACATATGTATCAGAATTATAGGCATTTTATATATAATTTATACACTTTGCTCACACAGCATAGACAAAATTGACACACCTTGGCAACAGGAATTTAGGGTTCTTGATGGACAGATCTGGGTGCTATTTTAAAACTGCTGCCAATTATACAAGCAGTTATAAGCCACTTTGAGCTACAAAGTTAGTTACAAAGTAAAATTAACAGATTAAATAGAAGAGAACCCTTTTTTTAAATCTGGCTGAGCAGCCATGTTGGATCAGACTGCACTGTTACCTGACCTGACTTTCCTGCTTTTCTGATTGCTCTGTGTGAAACTGCAAGAGCAAGCAGGTAAGGTTAAACGAACACTATAGGGCCATGAACACAAATGTGTATTTCTAAACTTTTGGTGTTAAATATCACCATCAGTATACAATCATTTAAAAAATCCTGGAATTAATACAGCAATATTAAGTAAAATTAAAATTACATTTACAAAACGTGAAACAATATTAAAGGACCATAGATCAGGTAATCCCTCCAGATCATACCAACAGAAAGAAACGTCTCTTCAAACTCCATAAGCTATGCTTGAAGAGATCATTCACTTAGGCTCACCTATATCATTGTCAGGCAAAGCTCAGAATAAATGGAGGGTTACCAAAACAAATCACAGTAGCTTTTTCGGTGTTTGTGTTGGGTAAATACCTATAATAACGTCACATCTTCACCTGAAAACCAGGGGGGCTAAATGGTGGTTTTAACATAATAAGGTTAGGAATACATGATTGTGTTCCTGACCCTATAGTGTTTCTTTAAGCAAGAGTATGTGAAGAGTAGTTAGGGTTGCCACCTTTCTTGGAAAAAAATACCAGCCTTAAACATTTGTATAATTAATTAGTTATGCGTGACATCACATGATGTAAATCACAAGGAGTGACATAATAGAAAATTCTGTAAAATCACCAATAAACTACTCACAGTTTGATTCTGCTGTATAGATGGACTGCTCCCAGTGTCTCCCTGCCTCCCAGTGTCTCAGTTTCGCAAGTCACCCAGTCTCTCAGTGTCCCTATGTATCACAGTGTCAGTATCCCCATGTCGCCCAGTCCCCTAGTCTCCCAGTGTCTCAAGTGTTCCCATTTCTCCCAGTGTCACTGAGAGACCCGGGGACACTGAGACACTTGGGGCCACTGGGAGACATGGGGCACTGAGACACTTGGGGACACAGGGAGACATGGAGACACTGAGTCACTAGGGACACATGGGGAAATTGGGAGCCATGGGGACACTGAGACACTAGGGACACAGACATGGGGACACAGACACTGGGAGACTAGGGGACACTGAGAGACTAGGGGACACTAAGAGACTAGGGGACACTGTGTCCCTAGTGTCTCCGTGTCCCAATGTCTTAGTGTCTCCCAATGTCCCTATGTCTCAGTGTCCCCATGTGTCTCAGTGTCCCCATTTCTCCCAGTGTCCCCTAGTGTCTCAGTGTCTCCAAGTGTCTCAGTGTACCCAGGTCTCCCAGTATCCTCTAGTGTCTGTGTCCCCTAGTGTCTTAGTGTCTCAGTGTTCCCATGTCTCCATGCTGCCTTTCCCCCATCCCTCACTTACTTGAGCTGTAGAGCTGCTGTCTGGACTCTGTGCTGTGTAGCTGCTCCCCCACGGATCAGTGAGTAGTAGAGAAAGGCAGGGAAGGATATGCTGTTACTTCCTATCCCTGCCTCTCTCCACACACAGTGACCCCTACTGGCCGGTGCTGGTATTGCAGAGTAATTTCTGGTTATACTGAGAAAAATACCTGCATTTGTATTGCCGGTATTACTGCAATATTGGCACTGGACAGGCAGCCTCAAATACCAGTTGTGCCAGTAAAATACCAGTCAGGTGGCAAACCTAACAGTAGTGTGTGGAAAAAAAAGGTAAAAATATATATATATATATATATTTTTTTTTTAAATGGGCCTATTCCATGGACCTGGGCCTGGAGCTACAGCTCCATCAGCCCCTATGTTAATCCGGTCCTGACTAGGTTAGTCTTCAAACTAAAAGAAATTGGTCTAGATTAATATTCTTGTTCTTGGGTAGAACATTGGCTTAAGGATAGAGTACAACGAGTTGTCATTAATGGTTAATTTTCCGGCTGGACAAAAGTAGTAGGTGGTGTCCCTCAGGGTTCTATTTTGGGGCCGCTTCTATTTAACATATTTATAAATGATCTTGACATAGGCATTAAAAGTCATGTTTAAGTGTTTGCAGATGACAAAACTTTGTAAAGTGATATAATGTGAGCAGGGTATTGCTTTGCTGCAGACGGATTTAGATAGATTGGGGGACTGGGCACTAAAATAGCAGATGAAATTTAATGTAGAGAAATGCAAAGTTTGGGGTCATGAATGCACAAGCAACTTACACCCTAAATGGTAGTGAATTAGGGATAACTAGGGGCATAAATTCTCAGGATGTAAATATAATTTTGCCTCTTTATAAATCGCTGGTAAGACCACACCTTGAATATGATGTGCAATTTTAGGCACCTGTTTTAAAGAAGGATATCATGGCACTAGAAAAAGTGCAGAGACGAGCTACAAAATTGATAAAAGGAATATAGCATTTTCGTTACGAAGAAAGGTTAAAGAATTTAAATCTCTTTAGTTTGAGAAAACAGCGCCTCAGAGGGTATATGATAACATTATACAAATATATTCGGGGCCAATACAAACCATTATCTGGAAATCTATTCATAAACAGGGCTATACATAGGACACGAGGTCACACATTTAGGCTGGAAGAAAGGAGATTTCATCTAAGGCAAAGAAAAGGTTTTTTTACAGTAAGAGTAATAAGAATATGGAATTCTCTGCCTGAAGAGGTGATTTTATCAGAGTCCATACAGATGTTTAAACAGCAACTGAATAAATACTTGTAAAAACATAACATACAGGGATATAATTTCTAATTAGTGGGGTAATAGCTGTTTGATCCAAGGAGATATCTGACTGCTATTTTGGAGTCAAAAAGCAATTTTTTCCTAGTTTGTTGCAAAATTGGAAGCGCTTCAGACTCGGTTTTTTGCCATCTTTTGGATCAACAGCAAAACCATATGTGAGGAAGGCTGAACTTGATGGAGGCAAGTCTCTTTTCAGCTATGTAACTATGTAACAAGCCTGCTTTTATTGTATTTGCCTTTTGCAAAATCTTGTCTACAAACTGAGCAGGGGGTGATTAAATATTAACATATTAATGTCAGCGTTAGTAGTAGTAATAGCGATATGTTTCTCATTACAGAAAGATCATCATTCTTTTGCAGTATAATTATAATATGCCTCCTAACCATCCTGATTTTTGGGTCATGTCATGCGGTCCCGAGTTTGTTCCAAAAACAGAGCAATACAGAACTGTTCTCAAAAGGTTTAAGGCAAGAGCATTATTAGAAATGCTTTTGCTGCCCTTAGGGCACTAGAATCCTTCAGAGAGCACTGAAACAGTGCTCTATGCGAAAATATAGATCCTCACACGATGACGTAGAATGTCGACCTGAGCAGGTGAATACTGGGAGACGCTACAACATCACAGAATTAGTAGCTTGGTGTGTGGCCCAAAGATGTACTGCGTAGTGTGGGATGTGGACTTCCCGATTGCGGTTTGCCATTGGGAAGAAGAGTGGCCAACGGAGTATTTGTGGCATTACTCTGCGGCACAGCTGAAAGCAGACAGATGTCAGTATTCTCCAGAGCATTGAAGACTCCCCAGTCCACACAGAACACCTAAAGCTTAGGGGAAGACATCTCAGGGCAACATATTACACAAGATAAGTAGTAAATATTTTTTTCTTTATTGATCTAATAATTTTAATATCTGTCTTAATGTAAATAGTGGTGCTCATAAACTGAATAGTAGTTGATGGATGTTCTACTATAGCACTGTGTATATAATACTGTTACAAAAAACTTGTAAAATAAAAGGTAGTCCCAGAATTTTATAGGAAATAGAGATAGAAGAAATCAGTATAAGGAGTGAAAGAAAGTAGGAGGAAGAGGAGGGGAGGGTGGAAATAAAGAACAAGAAATAAACAAGAAGATAGATGAGAAAGGAACAGATAAGGAAATACAAGATTTCTCTGACACAGAGACTAGGTGAGGAGGAAAAGAAAAAAGGAAGCAGAAAAATAAATGTTCTATTTAACCAATATGGGGTGTAAGAAAGTTAAAACATATGAGGGAGAAACACTTGAAAATTCAAAAAAGCCTAAATCGAGCACCTTCTTTTCTCCAAAAGTAGATACAACTCTCTCAAAGAGCACAGAAGAATCACTCTCCACAGACCAACTTGAAACATCTAATGTATCCTCCCAACTGGAAATATCTTCAAATGGAAAAAAGCAATACTACTAAAATTAAAAGTGGCTTTCAGGAAAGTCTAATTGCAGCTTTTGACGACCTATATGAAAACACATCTCAGAACTAAAATCTGAAGTGGTTGAATTAAATCAGAAAATAATGCTTTAGGATGCGAATATTCAAGACATCCGTGAAGATTTAAAGCTTCTGCAAGCTTAAAATTTTATTTAAAAAGTCAATTAAAACAACTTGAGCATAAAACATTAGCAATTGAAAATAGATCCCAGGGGCATAACCTGAGGTTCAGGGGCATCCGAGAGCATATTAATGCAGCAAAAAACTACATGAGTTCTTAAAAGAATATCTGCTACAATTTCTCGATAAACAAGAGATTGGTTTAACTCCTTTTGAAGGATACCACAAAATACAGCCAATATAAAGACAACAAAACCAAGAGATGTAATTGTTCAATTTCTAAACGGAGCTGTTAAAGATTCTCTCCTTAGGAAAGTGAGATTCAATAAGCCAAAGAATGTTAATTTTAACAATATTTCTATTTTTCCAGATCTACCATTACCACGAGGAATAGTTGTAAAAGATACAGAAATATGACTTTAAAGGCAGGTTCTGTACAAATGGTGGTTTCCTACTAACCTCCTGATTTCTATGGAGATAAAACTATTATAGCAGATCATCTAGCTAGATTAGGTATCCCGTATGAAGTCCAGATGCCTGATCATAATCTAATTTAACCACTTATGACCTTGAAAAAGATTTATTCAAAGTAGAGATGAAATGGGTGAAAATGTGAATTAACTGAATGTTAATCACAGCACTACAAAAATAAAATATAAAGATACCTGACTATAACCAGATCCTAAATACACGCTATGCACTTATGAGTATCTTGAAAGCACTTTTACTTTATAACACATTAAAATTATTATTTTAGAGAATTTGTTT